GCTTTTGAGAAATCATGTCTTTTTTATGTGTATACTGAGACCAGTTCTAAGTGAGATTAATATTCATGATCTTGAAGTTTAAGCATCCAAGGTAARATGGGTAACTTTAATAGGTTTAGCTATCAAAACTTTGTTTTTTATGTCTAGAAATTGAGAATATCATATCTTCTAAAAAATTTGTTTCGAACCGTAACTCTTATTTATTCAAACTGTATTAATATGTAAAAGACAAAATATAAGTTACATCATCGTTAAAATCTCTTTTAACAAAACCACTGAAGCTTCAAAATCGTTAAAATTCACGGATCCCGCTGCATTGCGCGGGTACACAACTAGTATATATATATATATATAGGGGTCATTCAAGGAAGAACTGACTAGTTTGTGGTAACTGTGAAATCCAATCTCAATCATAAATCAATAGATAAATTAGAAAATTTATAATTTTGAATTAAAATTTTAATATAAGAATATTTTAGGTATTTTAAAATTCTCCACTCTCCGTCCTCCAGCCACTATTCTCCCGTGATACTACTTATGATACCTAAAATATTGACTCTCTTAAACAAAAGACACACAAACGACCCTCAGTGTGATACCAAGCACATATAAGATGCATCGTGATACCACCGTATAACATCTTCGATTGACCACATAAACGACCCTCAATATGATACCCAAGCACATATAAGATGAATTATGATATCACAGTAATACCATTGATTTCAATTAAACTAATCAGATTTGGCGATAATGAGGGTGGTTTTCCGATTGGGTTTGAATCGGATCTGATGGGAAGATAGAGAGATATAGGAATTTGGGGGTTTGAGAGAGAGAGAGAGAGAGAGAGAGAGAGGAGGGGGAGGGGGAGGAGAGAGAGAGAGGACTTAAATGCAAAATTGGAATTCTAAACTAATTAAAGTAATTTGAAATCATATTAATTTACTAAGAAATCATGTTCACTAATTTACCTTTATATTTATTTTAAGAAATCATATTAATTATTTTGAATGATTGGTTCACGTTCGATCTCACGGTTACCACAAACTAAATAGATCTCATTTGATTAGACCCCTATATATATAAAGGTAATAACCAAGAGAAATGACATGACACAATATGGATTGAGAATTCAAAATATTGAATTGCAGTTAATTTATCTATCCCACATTGATAAAAAAATTATATGTCATATCATGTGGCTGAATATATAAGGAGAAAAAGGCCAACTTATAAAAGAAATGATATGTTGATACCCATGAGGAGAATATTATCAACTCTTTTTATATGAACGTTGATTTATGATTACTTTAATCTATTTTGGATTAAATAATTAATTTTAGTTTATAAATACTATTTTTTGTTACACATCTTTACGCATTTAAATGAAAAACCAAGGAGAATGACATGACACTAACGATTTCAGTATTCTAAATTTTTTAATTGTCGTATTGGTTTGAGTATCCCAAATTAGTGTGGAGATGATAATTTGATAGAGGTAGGTAAGTATATGAAAGAGTGCGATGCCTTACAAAACTTAAACGGTTTGTGACAACATAAAGAGTTGGTTGTTTGACGGTTGCTGAATGGTTTGGTACAAAATGATTAAGTGGTTAGAATGATTAAGAAGCTCTCATGATATAGGGTAAAATGAAATATTATTGTTTGATAATTGTTTACAATGAAATTAGAACACTTAATGGTTACTAGGAGATGCATGATACAAAATCATTCAAAGAGTTTTAAAACCATTAAGAGACATATTTTTTTTTGCCAAACAAGATTAACCTTTTAACGATTCAGATACTGTCTCTTAAACGGCTTGTGACAACATAAAGAGTTGGCTCTTTTGGGCGGACTCACTTTTCGCAAATAAAAAAACAATTTTTTTCTCAAATTTATGTTAGAGACTTAGGGTCAGATCAAATGAACGAATGAAAAAGGTAGACCAAGTATTCGAAATTTCTCCATTTATTTTAGAAACTTAGGGTCAGATAGACCAGTTGTATGAAATTTTTTCGTATACATACCCCTATACAAATATTTTCCTTTCATTTCCTGGTTTGCATCCACAATGAAGCAGAAAATGAAAGAAGTAATAAATGCTTTGTTAGAGAAGAATAAGTTTCCAATAAACAACCCAATAATACTATCTCCAGTGTGTAAGGTGCGCAGAACACTAGTTATAGAAAAAGCAGAAAACCTGCGCAGGCCAATTTCCTTCTGCACAATACGGAGACGAGACGACAATGGCCTTGAGATTCGCGCCTATTCTTATTCTATACCTTTTTCATTCTTTCTCCATCTTCTTGTGTTACTTTACTCTTAAAATCAGTCACCAATTCATGATAATGTTGGTTGCTTCCGACGGTTTGAATTTTCTAAAGGGTTCCATCGTTACCCAATATTGTGATCTTAAAATTTCAAGTCTCGTGTTATCGGGACAAGCAATCAATCAATGAAAATATACAACCTTCTTCAGGCTGTTTGGTAACCGGTAAGAACAATCAACTTTCATTTCTCTCTCACTCGTACAGATCTCCTCGAGAAAGTAGAAAATTGACTCATGATATTAAGTAGCAAAAGGCTTTAATTCCCCTGTTTGTTCTGCTACTGTGTCTGTGTCTGTGTACTATCTGCTTGATTGTTGAATCAGATTATTCGCAAACTAATGAAATGTCTTGTTTATAAAACCCCTGGATCTGTTTTGAAATTCGAGTTTAAACATACAATAATTCACATATAAGTTAATGATTATGCATGTTTCTTGTTGGGAAGCCACTTGCCTTATTATAATATACTAGTTGTGTACCCGCGCAATGCAGCGGGATCCGTGAATTTTAACGATTTTGAAGCTTCAGTGGTTTTGTTAAAAGAGATTTTAACGATGATGTAACTTATATTTTGTCTTTTACATATTAATACAGTTTGAATAAATAAGAGTTACGATTCGAAACATATTGTTTAGAAGATATGATATTCTCAATTTCTAGACATAAAAAACAAAGTTTTGATAGCTAAACCTATTAAAGTTACCCATYTTACCTTGGATGCTTAAACTTCAAGATCATGAATATTAATCTCACTTAGAACTGGTCTCAGTATACACATAAAAAAGACATGATTTCTCAAAAGCCAAAATGTGTACATGCATGTTACATACATTTAAAAAGATGCAAAAATTCAGTATCAATTATGAAAACAAAAGATGCAAATAACAAATAAATCAGACAATTCATGTTCCCATCAATATCTATTCTATTGTAAAGAAGATGTGAGTGAGAGGTCGTTTACTAAACACAAGTGCTTAACGTATAAATTTTCTAATCGGATGAACATGACAAGAGCCAAAAATCTTACCGGATAAGAGCGATAAGAAAGATGGAGAGTCTTACCCGGTAAGTGAGAATTTACCCAGGTAAGCGCTTACCTAGTAAATTGTTGCATTCAATATGCTTTGATGTACTAAAATTTTACGCATCTAAATAAATTATAGTGTTGAGTCCTATTGGTAAGCGCTTACCAGGTAAGCATTTGGGTAAACGGCCCCTGAACCTTGCATTTGCATAATTGGTTCCTTTTAAATGTGTTGCAGCCGAAGTTGCAACATCTGTCCAACACCCTGTATCTTGTAACCGATAAATATATGGACATAACTTTAGCTAATGACAAAGAATGCATATATCACAACTATACAATTTGAATTTGATTAGGAAACTAACTCCCAAAATTAATTTGGGTTCCCTGTAGAATATTTGTAGAATGTTTAAGGTATTATGATGATAGGATTTGCTTCTGGTTTCTACAACTTCACTCGTTTTGAAGAGATAGGAATGCTTGTTTCATTATAGACAAACAAACAAACAATAATTTAAGATTCTTTACCACAAATCAAACCTGAAGCCATTTGAATCATTCTTTCTATATGAAGTTTATGCCATAAACAACCAACCTACCTACAAACATTAATATTGAAACCAAATAGCCATGGGCATGCATATAGGCATTGACATCCACTTTCCTATCTTCCACATACGTCATTTGTGTATGATTGCCATCCTCAGATCCATTATCTGCATGATTCGAAAGCTTGGGCTTCAACATAATCTTTACAATAAACCAAAAYRAAGATATTCAAAGAAGGCGTTAATGACATAGCCAATAGCCATATATATGGCATAGCCAACACAATGCTTGACAACAAAAATATTCAAAGAAGGCGTTAACGACATTACCTTATTTTTTTTTAATAACATCCAAGTGATTCTTGCYAAAGTTTCAATCTTCTTTTCCATTTCACTCACGTGTAACAAGTGCCCCATATTCTAATATCCCTGAAAGGTCCAAAAACGAAATCATAATTTGACTTATACAAGTATATTGGATAACATTAAAACTTCACTTAAATAACCTAAGTACACTACCAATGATACAGTTATATGTTCATAACCAAAATAAAAAATTCACTACAATGTGTTCTTGGTGTCTTTCCYAATGGATTCTAGACTGCATCAACCCCTTTGCTTGATAGTATGTCGATGTTAAACCTGTTCGTAATCGTTGTTCTAGTAAAACCATAATCATATATGCATCTTAAATTACACAACTCTTGCATA